AGTCGGAGGTGTGACCGCGGCCGCTCGGGAGCCGGCTCCCGGGGAGTCTGGGGCCCGGGGAGGGCCACGGGGAGAGCGCGGGGCTGGACCCACGCCCTGCCTCTCACGCGCAGGTTGCCTTTTTGCAGGCCGGCTCCCCTCTGGCTCTTGGCTTCCCCAAGCAACCGTCGGGACAAAATGATTACACAGGCCCGTCCCAGTGCACAGAGCGGAGGTGCAGGAGGCCTCCTCCTGGCCCCTGTGGAGGCCGGGTCTGGGGAGTGAAGGCTGGGCTGAGAATTCAGAGAACCTGCTGAATAAAGTCAAAACGTTAAGCGAGTCGTGAGGTTGATGTAGAGGAAGGGGGTGGGGTGGATTTGCGAGTGTGTTTTGCGTGCATTTTGGAGTGTGGGTTCCAGGCTGATTGCGTGGCCCTCCCGGGGCGAGCACTTAATCTCTCTGGACGGCAGGTGCACCCCTCTGTGATAAAAATGTTTTTTTAATGGTCGTAAAGCTCATGGCAATGTGCCCGGCACACAGAAGTGCTCAATGAATGATAGATGCTATAATCACTACCCAACTGGTACTTACACTAAGATCCCATAGAGCCGGGAACCACGAAGAGCATGTTTAGGGGGTTCTTTCTAGAGCAGAGGGCGATGGGGGGGGGCTGCTTTAGAAACCTGGGGTGCACCGGAGCCTGAAAGGTCCCCATTCCTGGAGTTTTGTTGCCCCGTTTGGTTACTAGAATTGAGGACAACAAAGGAAGGGACCCTTCAAACCAGGATTTTGCCCACCCGCAGCCTCACTTCCTGCCGCTGTCTTCTTTCCCTCAAAGACACAGGAGGTCACCTGCCTTCCTCCCACGTCTGTATCTCTAAGTCTACGCTCACGGTCCTCCCTTTGCCTGGGCTACCTCGCCCTTCCTCTCTACTCATCCTTCTGAGATTATATATGTTCACTCTCCCTTAGGAACTCCTGAATTTTCCAGTCGGCCTCATCTCTGAGCTGCCAAGTACAGACCTGTATTTTGAGCCTCGATTGTGTGGGAGCCGCTCATAGTCTGAGTTCTCTTGTTAGTCTATGGCTCCTCCTACAGGAACAGCGCACGTAATAGGGCCCCAGGCAACGTCTGCCAAATTAAACAGCGCACACAATAGGGCCACAGGCAACGTCTGCCAAATTGAGAGAGGCTGGACAGAGCGAGTCTGTCCTCAGGGGTTCCCCAGCTTCCTGGAAAGTTGTGCCCTAAATCTAACACCATCTATCCTGATACCCCGGGTGTCCCTGGGCATTTTCTCCCGTGAGTTTGTGGGATAAGGAGGGAAGGATTTCTCCCCCTGCACCCCCACCCTGAGGTCGTCCACCTAAAAGCCGCTTTCGGGGCTGCCCAGACAAAAGCACGCGGTCGCACGGGCTGTCGGGCCAGGGCTTTAATGGAGGAGAGGAGAGGAGTGGGCGCCCGGTCCGGCCGTCGGCTAGTCACCTTTGGGCGCAGCCTTCATCCTCATCTCGGCCAGTTTGTGGGTAAGGAAGCCCCACTTGAAGTCGGCCGCCGCATCGGCCTCCCGCGGCTCGGGGCGCTCGGCGGCCTCCTCCGTGGCCTCCTCCCCGGCCTCGGGGTCCCGCTCCGGGGCGGGTTCGGC